GGGGGGGGGGGGGGGGGGGGGGGGGGGGGGGGGGGGGGGGGGGGGGTAGGGCGGTGTTGATCTATAAGAAATGTTCTCCTGGGTGCTCAGCGAAAGGGAAGTGGGGGGGGTGGGGTGGGAACTGGGGCATTCTGGGAAGAACGCTTCATCACAGCATCCGGGAGGAGACCCTGACTCACTAGAGCCATGCTGACCACAGGGCAACAAAGAGGAGCCTCACTCACCTGGCATGGTCGTGCTCCCATAGTTCTCCGTGCTCTCTTCACACAAGCCATCCTGGGGGGCCGCGGCCAGCTGCTGCCACTCTCCCCGGGTCAGTGATCCAGCCTTGGCCTTGAAAGTCGGGGTGCCCTGGAGGTGTGCAAGACCTCAGTTAGTGCTCGCTGTCCCTGCTGAGAGCAAGTAGCTGGTGAGACGAGTGACAGAGTAACAGCGTTCCATGTCACCTCGACTGGACTCAGGAACCCCTGAAACGCGGCTTCGGGACTAGCCTGAGCTAGCCAGCATTTCCTGGCAGCTTTGACTGGGCTGCATGGGCGGAAGGGAGACAAGGGGAGTGCCAGCGTCCACGTCCTCCTCGCTGCTAACTGGGAAACAAGGGGACGAGCCCCACCCCTGCTGCACCTTCCTGGCCCTAGACTGTGGCTTCTGTTCAACCCTGACGCCCCCAAATACGCCCTTCCCTCTCGGAGCCCTTGACACGGCGGCGGGAAGACTCATTCGCCTGAGGTCTCGGGGTTTGGGGGGGGGAGTCCTCACCTGCGGGGAGGCCGGGTGCAGGGTGCGCGCCCAGGCCGCCGCCTCCTCCCCGCTCTCGGGGCGCCGGTGGCGCACGGGGTCCCGCAGGCGGCGAGAGAGGATTCTGAGGAACTGTTCGAGGACCAGCAGATCCAGCATCTGCTCCTTGGAGCGCCGATCGGGCCGCAGCCAGCGGCTGCACAGCTCCCGCTGGCGGCTCACCTCCTCAGGAGCCGGACATGACCCCGCAGCTCAGCCGCCGGAAGCGCCTCCGGGAGGTGTCGGGGTCCCACCAGTCCCCGGGGTCCTTCTCTTCCTCCTCCGCTCCTGCTTTCAACGCCAGCACCACCGCGCAAGCCGCCACCATCGCAGCTTCCGGGGCCCCGAGACCCCGATGAGATTCCCGGAAAGCGGGGCGCGCGGCCACCTTATCCCCCCCCACAAAACGCCACTACCACAGTTCACGACCCCGGGCAGCGCTCCAGCGGTAGAAAAACAAACCAGGCCGGAAGTGCGTCATCAACCCAAGCCGACTATGAGAGGAGAGATAGAGAGGCTGCGCCCGTCTTGGGTCTCTCCATGAGCCCTGGAGGACTAAGTGGCACCTCCACCTCCCAGCGTTTATGATGCTGGAAACAACTCGCAGGAGATTCTGGGATTTGTAGGCGACTCAGCATCCACGGTACAGCCAGCAGACAGGGAGGGACGCAGACTAGAGACTAGGAGCAATCCCATGATGCATCGCGCCCCCTTGACGCCATTTTTGTAGTTCTTACAATTCCAGACGTCCTTGCTCTGAAACCACATCTGTAGTTCTCGCGCCGGCTGGTCTTTGCCGCGAAGCATCTTTGGACCTTTGGGACTTACGTGACCAGCAAGAGCTCCGAAGTTAGAAACGAAGGGATGAACGTCCGTCTGTGAGTAGAGGGTTTGTGTTTACAGCCACCTGGCGGAGGCCAGAGAGATGGCAGGGCGATCTCAGTGCCTCCGAGCCCGCAATTCTCTGCTCTCTGCGGGGCGGATCTGGAAGCGAAGCCGTAAGGGGCGGGACTTCCGCTAGAGTCGTGCTGCAACCCGGAACGGTTTTCCCAGGTCAGCAATCTTCTTATCCCAAGCAGTTATGAATTCATAGTCCTGCTCACACGTGGCGGGGAGAGGAAGGGGAGTAGGAGGGATTTGGGGGTTCCCCGCCTCCCTCCTCTGTCCACTCCTGGACTTCCATCCATACGCCTGGAGTCCCTGAGCGGCTCGTGCGTGGGGCAGAACCGCAGGCAGGGGGATGGCGGGATGAGGAGACGCACAGTCCTCAGCTCCCTCCAGGCCTGCGTGCTTCCTGGGGGAGATGGGTGCACCCCGCCCGGGGTGAGGCTGTGCACGACTTTGTATTGGTTGTTCGGCGCCCTCTGCTGGCCTGGGGGCACGAGCAGGGAGGATCCTATAAATAATTTTTAGGGGCCTGGGGGTTGAGTAGGTAAGGTGCACTGGGCTTAGTTGTTAGGGTGCTGGGGACTCAGTACAGAAGGATCTGGCCACCTCTGCTGTTCTAAAAGTATATACATATGGGCAAAGAAAAAAAGTAAGAGATGGAGGAGGAAGAAGAGGGAAGGAAGGAAAGAGAGAGAGAAGAAAGAAAGAAAAGGAAGGAAGGAAAGAAGGAAAGAAAGAAATCTGTGTGGCTTTGCAGAAAAACAGCCAGCTAATTGAAACTTGGGTAATATTTGGTGTTGATTTGCTGAATTTGAACCAACGTACACAGGTAAATGTGCAGGTATTCTGTAGTCATAAGTAACTGAAGTTTTTCCACATGTTAAATAAATTATTTTCAACCAGAAGGAAGGTGGAGAGCATGGCAAACCAACACATTTTATTTTGAGCCCCTATCAAGTAGGAATGACTTGATGAACTTTTTCAGAGGAAGCTTCTCATATTCGAAAACAAGAGCTATCCCTGGCTTAATGAACTATCTCTAGTCTTCTACAACCTCTCAGTACCCAGGAGATTTTTACTTCCATAAATTCTGGATTGACAGGTTTGATTGCTCACCTCCTGCTTTGCTATGTGAAAATCATGACCCATACCCACTTTCTATAGAGATTAAACCAGAAGAAAATGATGTGGTGACAGTTTCTGAGCCCACCTATTCTATACGGAATGCAGTGTATGCAGTGTCCCATGCCCTCCATAAAACGCTGTTGAGCAAAATTGAAATGGGACCTAAAGAAGACAGAAACATGGACTGGCTTCTTCCATGCCAGGTAAGCCTCACTCATAAGCAAGGGAAGCACCAGGATCTTATATTATTGGAAAGTAATTCACTGTCATCAAACCAGTAAAACATTTTCATCTTATAGTTGCAAGTATAAGTTAAAATGGAAAAAGGTTCTATCAAAGTGTATGTGTATATATCTCACATGATTTGGGTACTGAAAGCACTTATTTGAAGACATTAAATTTGAATGTCTTTCAACAAATGTTTTCCTAGTGTGAGATGAAGTTCTGTAAGATACAATTGAACATACTGTAAAAATATATCAAGTCAAGAACCAAATTTTTTTTTCATTTCAAGGAATATGTCCAATGCCATAAGATATATACTAGGGCATCATATCCAAGCAACCATTTCACCTAAAATACAATCTGTATTTATGACAAAAGACCATAAAAAGATCCTTTTGTGGACAATAAATAGCCTGTCCTCGAGTCAGCAGTAACAGAAAAGTAATTGCTTTCGCAGATGATTTAGTATTAATAAGGTAAGATGAATGTGAAATGAAAATCATGGTCCCATTAATAAATTTTAGAACATAGACAGTGCTCATGAGCCTGGGCCATATCTCAATGTGTTAGTGATGAGTGTAATGTGTGGGTTTTAAACCCACAAGGTATAATATAGGACTCACTTACACTTATAAGACTTGGAGATTAACTTCAAATAGGATATCAAGATGATTGTTGAACAAGTCAATTGAACTTTTCATTCAGTCGATAGGTAAATAAAAGATAAAATGTGAATGTTTGTATACTATATAATTTAGTATTATGGGAATCAGTAATATTTCACATTAATATTAACATAGTCTGTAATCATGGCTTCCAGTCATAATGTATTAGGTAAGTGAGTATGTCTCTTGTACGGATAACTGGGTACCTGTATAGAAGTTCTTTATAACATGAGTTATTAATTAATTAACACAATATTAGGTTGTGTTATTAATTTTCAGAAGTTGATTTTTTTGTAATCAAGACAATACTGCTGGTGTCTTAACAAAAATATGGAAGTGTTTCTTCCTTTTCCCTTATGTGGAATACTTTGAGGAGTATTGTAGTGAGTTATTTGCGACTCTTGTAGAATTCATGCTGAATCTCTAGACCTAGCCTTTTCTCTTTTTTTTTTTTTTTTTGAGATTTTTAAATTACCATTTCTATCTTGGTTGTTATGTTTCTGTTTTAATTTATTTCATCTTGATTTAATGTTGTTAGATTTTATACATCTAGAAGTCTACCCATTTATTTTTTTGTATTTAAATGCTTAGTTGAATGAAGACTTTTAAAATATGAACCAATGATTCGCTGCTTTCCTCAGTGCATGTTGTAGTGTCTGTTAGATCAGGATTGATGCAGTTGACATGGAATTAAAAGAGCAGACAGGCATTTCCAAAAGCAGGATTTTTCTCTCAGACAGAACACTGTTATGGTAGTCTATTGAGAGGGCAAGTGGAGATTCTGTGCTGTAGTACTGGAGGATGGAGGTCTTAAGTAGCTTGGGGAGAAGGACACACCATGGGGGTTCAGTGTATAAATTTCTGGCCTTAGTTCTGCCTGTCTGTAGGTGTGTGGGTTTATTTCTGGGTATCTGATTCAATTCCATTGATCCACAAGTCTTTTTCTCTGCCAGTACTATGCCGTTATTATTACTCTTGCTCTATAGTATAGCTTTAGATCAGGGATGGAGATAACTTCAGCAGTTCTTTATCATACTGGGTTGTTTTAACTATTCTGTTTTTTTTTTTAATATGATGTTGAGAATTGTTCTTTCAAGGTCTGTAAGGAATAGTGTTGATATTTTGATGGGAATTGCATTAATCTCTAGATTTCTTTTGGTAGGATGACCATTTTTGCTGTTATTCTTACTGATCCATAAGCATGGAAAATTTCTCCATCTTCTCATATCTTCTTCAATTTCTTTCTTCAGAGACTTGAAGTTTTTTTTTCATACGATCTTTCCCTTTCTTGGTAAGAGTTAAACCAATGTACTTTATATTATTTGTGAATATTGGAAGGTTGTTGTTGCCCCAATTTCTTTCTCAGCTCACTTGTCTTTTGTATACGGGAAGACTTCAGAATTGTTTGAGTTAATTTTATATCCAGCAATTTCGCTGAAGGTGTTTATCAGATATAGGAGAGCTCTGGTAGAATTTGTGGGTCTATTCATGTATACTATCATATCATCTGTGAATAGTGATACTTTGAATTCTTCCTTTCTGATTTGTATCCCCTTGATCTCCTTTAGTTGTCTTACTGCTCTAGCGTGGACATGATGGATGATATGTTTAATGTGTTCTTGGATTTGGTTTGCAAGTATTTTATTGAGTATTTTTGCATGTTCATAAAAGAGATGGGTCTGAAGTTCTCTTTTTTTTGTTGTTGTTGGGTCTTTGTGGGTTTTAGATATCAAGGTGACTGTAGCTTGCTAGAATGAGTTTGGTAATGTTCCTTTTGTATCTATTTTGTGGAATAGTTTGAAGAGAATTGGAGTTAGGTCTTTGAAGGTTTGGTAGAATTCTGAGCTGAAACCATCTGGCCCTGGGCTTTCTTATTTGGGAAGGGAGATTTATGATGACTGATTCTATTTCCTTGGGAGATATAGTAATATTCAATCTATTTATCTGATCTTGATTTAATTTTGGAAGATGGAATCTATCAAGAAAATTGTCCATTTCATTTAGATTTTCATATTTTATGCCATATAGGCTTTTGTAGTAAGACCTAATGATTGTTTGCATTTCCTCAGTGTCTGTTGTTAGGTCTCCCCTTTCAATTCTGATTTTTCATTTCTGATTTCCACTATGACCAAATTGCTTATACCTAATATTGCACAACATAAGTCAATAAATATAAAAACCACATAAATGATGAATGATGTATAAACAAAAATCACATGAACATCTTAATAGCTTCAACAACAAAAAAAATCTTTGAAAAAATCCAAAAGCCTTTATCATAAAAGTTTCAATAGTTGTAAGGCTATTGGCAACACCTCTCAACACAATAAAGCTATAGGTGAGAAACCTGCATCCAAAATCATCACTAATGGAGAAAAGGTTTAGGCTAGTTTACTTAGGTCAGAAGCTTTTCATCTATGTTCACCACTCCCACTCCTTTTCAATATTGTGCTCAAAGTGTTAGTTTAGGCAATAAAGAAAAATAAGTAAAGGAATATACTATCATATTCAAGCTATCATGTTTTAGGTGTTGTTTAATATTTACTATTTATATACCTTCTGGTAAAGCTTGCTGTTAATCCTAAACAGCTGTATACCCAAATCACCACACACAGACTGGGCTTATTTAGTTAACCTAGAACACAATGCTGGGAAATAATTACTGCATCCTAAACCTCCAAACCCTCATAGTTTCCTAACATTTAGATTCCCCACATTATACTTGCTTTTTGTGAAATATTATATCCAGTCCATCTTCACGTAGTTCCAAGATCTCTCTCTCCTGCTTCTTTCTCCTAGCTTTCCTCTCACACCTCTCTTCCCTCTCATTTGCTGCCCTCTGGCTCCTTGTCCTGACCCGAGGGACTTCAACGGGGTTCGTAAAGAAATGAGGGTGGAAGGAATGGGGGAGGGGAGGAACAAGAGACACAGGAATGAGGCCAAATCTGTTTGTCTGATCAAAGCCTCATTTATTAGAAATTTTTACCCAACTTATATAGGGAGAAGACAGAAGAGGGGGAAGGCTAAATTACTGCTGCAGGGTGTAGGATGCGTGCTTTCATGGCTTAAATATTGCACCTGCAAGGTACCACAAGGATGTTTTCTTAAGATAGCTCACGGATGCTCTAAAACTAACAGACAGATGTCCTCACAATCTATCACCCATGATTTATGGTCTTAGGTAACTCTTTCACTAAATAGCTTTAGGTCTCCACTAAATGACCTTTGCTCACTACTTGGCTTTGGCTTCAGTAAACAGCTTTGTCTCCACTAGATAGCTTTGGCTCATTAATTGACTTTGTCTTCAGTAAATAGCCTTGGCTCCTGTCACTTTATCTGAGCAGAGGTCCTATGTTATCTCTATTCATGGTCCTTAGGTGGAATATCAGTCTCAAAAAACACCTCTAGGCCCAGGTTTTTTGGCTTTGTTGGTCTCTTTGTGGAGATCCTGTCCCTTTCAGGTCTTTCTATCTATCTCATCTTCCATAATGATTCCTGCCCTCTGCCCAAAGTTTTGGTATGAGTCTCAGGATCTCTGTCAAAACCCTTGTGGGTAGAGTCTTTCAGAGGACTCCTGTGGAAGGCTCCTGTTCTTTTCCTTGTCTTCTCCCACTTTCAATGTCTATCCTGTTTTCCCTTCTGAGTGTGGTTTCAGCCTCTTCCCTAGGGTCCTCCTTGTTGTTTAGCTACTTTAGTATATTTTCCTATATTATATGTGTAACATCCACTTATAAGTGAATATATATATATATATATATATATATATATATATATATATATATATAAAACCATGTGTGTCTTTCTGCTTCTCGGTTGCCACACTCAGGATGATCTTTTCTAGTTTCTGCCATTTGCCTGAAAATTTCATGATTTCTTTGTTTTTTTAATTGCTGAGTAATATTCCATCATGTAAATGCACCACACTTTCTGTATCCATTCTTTACTTCAGGGACATCTAGATTGTTTCCAGATTCTGGATATGATAAATAAATCTGTTATGAACATAGTAAGGCAAATGTCCTTGTTGAATGGTGGGGCATCGTTTGGATATATGCCCAGGAGTAAAATTGCTACCCTAACAAAAGTAATCTACAGATTCAATGCAATTCCCATCAAAATGCCAACACAATTCTTTATAGATCTTGAAAGGACTATTCTCAACTTCATATGGAAAAAGAAACAAAGAAAAACAGAACTGCTAAAACAATCCTGTGTAACAATAGATTGTTTGGAGGTATTTCTATCCCAGATCTCAAGCTGTACTACAGAACAAAAATAATAAGAAGTCCATGGTACTGGCATAGAAGCTGACT